TAACTATCCCAGGATTCTATAGACTCCCACAAAGTAGAAAGATAAAATTATCATTATAGTATCATTTTTGACAATCAGTATGATTCATTAAAAGCACAATATACAAGAAGGAGGTAATCCCACCAACACCATGCAGTGATTTCTCATTAAAGGAGACAGTGAGATATTTCAACAGGGAGATTAATAGAAATAATGTATGGATTTGTACCCTGCCTCCTTGCTGATTTACATTATGCTATGTCATTGGAACAACAGGAGGAAATGCAATATCTCTCATATGATCAATGTTGAAATACCAAACCTCTTGTTGTGGTTGACTGTACATTCACAGCAACACACTTTGGGAAATGAAATAGAAGCACTTCCTATCCTTCCCTTTTTTGTGCCTTATAGCCTTTCCATGTGAGTTATTTCTGGGACTCAAATTTAGTTTTTATGTTAAGCAGTGTTTCTCAAAGTACACAAGCTTTTTCTTTTTGAGGAAAGCTTTCTCCATCTGGAAATGGTGTACCCCATCTTTTTGCTCTAATGGTGAGATTTTCTGACCCATCATAAAACATTAATGTTTAGACAATGTTTATTTCACAGACTCATCCAAGAGACTCTCAGGGCTGAGAAGAAACCATAAGGATTATATAGCTCAGTTCCCTCACCTTATAGACAAGAACAGCAAGGTTCAGTTGTCCAACCAGGTTTTGCTCTCTGGGTTGCCACATCTCATAGGGAAAAAGTAGGTTTTTTTTTTTAAAGAGGAGAAAGCATTATCAAGGTAACAAAACACTGTGTGGGAAAATGTAAGAATGGATGTTAGAGAAAGATAAACATTCTTTCTCCGTACAAATGGATAAATGGACCAGAAGTTATGCCAAGTGGTCTGGAAACAAACAAAAAAAGTAAGACCCATTTCTTCTAGATTTCCAGCAGCTTCAAGTTTTGGCTGAATGGTTATGACAGTATAGGGAGGACAATGCTATAGCATAGAATAAGGAAAGATATCAGTAGGCATTCTGCTCAGTCTCCTCTCTGTCCTCTGCACTTTTTCATCACCACATGGCCTCTTGGCTGGGGTGGGAGTGGAGGTACCATCTCCTGTCTTGTAGCCTCAGCTTATGTGTATGTACAAGACCTTTGCTCAGGAGCAATACTGCTGCAACCAGTAGAATAATGACCAATTGCTATAGGTTTTTAACATGTTAAATATGCTGATTCACAAAGTATATTTTCATGTAGCTACACATTGGGCCCTCTTAAGTAACTGGCCTAGTAATATCTACCCAATAATGTTAGTTCACAGTAATTCATTCTGTTTTATCCAAACTGGTCACCTTTAAGATATATCTTTGTTATAAACCCGTACATACTCTTTTTTCCCTCTGCTCTGTCACCGAGATCCTAAAGAAGTAAAGAAATTGTAAAATAATACTACCCTACATTTTTGGCAAACAATATATTTCAGAGAACTTCAAATAATAACTTCTCATTTTATCCTCACAATAATCCTTTGATGCAGTTACATTGGTATTATTCTCCATTTCACAGAGTAAAAAAATTGAATTCATGGAGCTAGTGAGTAGAAGGATTTGGGGAAAGAGGAGGAAAATCATAAAACTGGAAGGCATGTAGTTCCATGTCCTCAATTTGAAAATAAAATATTGAGGTCTGGAGAGGTTAAACAGGTTACCCAAGGTTGTATTATTCAAGTTCAGTGTTAGAATGAAATCTCCATCTGCCGATTTCCAGCCTGCAGTTTCTGTCACGAGGGCATTCCCTCTCACAAATGGGTAAAGATGTGTTAGAGCAGGGTGATGGTACCCATTAACTGATGTCAAGCATTGCATTTTTAATGTGCTTTCCCTCCATCCCATCTAAATATTCAGAGTTCAGGCCACATAAGAAATAACATACAGTGATTCTTTAATGTCAAACTTTAGTGGTCAAACTGACCCAGCACCATTCATCTGAGATGGTAGAAAAATAATTTCAAAGTAGGAAAAACAGCTCTTTCTATCTTCAAGGTTTCTTCTTAGTGTGATCAGAGTACATAGCTTTATTTTTTTAAAGGATTGACTTTTTAATATATATATATTTCTATTGATTTCAGAGAGGAAGGGAAAGGGAGAGAGAGAGAAACATCAATGATGAGAAAGAATCATTGATTGGCTGCCTCCTGCATGCCCTCTACTGGGGATCGAGCCTGCAACCTGGGCATGTGCCCTTGACCAGAATCTAACCTGGGACCCTTCAGTCTCCAGGCCAATGTTCTATCCACTGAGCCAAACCAGCTGGGCCATAGCTCCATTTTTATTCTTTGATTTTTTTTCCTTTGTCTTGAAACATTCACTGAGCATCATTTCCCCACCAGAAAAGCACTTTTCTCCAAGCTCCATGGGCCTCCCTTTCTTCTCCCTGATTCTGTGCTGCTGCTTATCTTCAGTTTCTGATCTCCTGTCATCACCATAGAAACAGGGACCTCTTTATGGAGGCCCTTGCCCTGTTCACCAGTTTATCAAAATGACCTAGAGGGGAACAAGTCTCTCCAAGGGCCCATTGTGAATCAAGAAGGTGATGATCAGTCATCCAAGTTCAAGGACCTCTTCCCCTCACCATTCAATCTGGCTTCTAACACATAGAATTCACAGCAAGGGGGTACATAGAAATCTGCAGCAGAGAAGCACCCAGAGCACCTCTCTCAACTTGCTCTCTGTCGTGGAAGCTGCACACCCGTGCCTCCTGAACACGGGATGAAAAATCTCTGAACGTTTTCATTTCACCCATCGCTCATTCATCTCCTGCCTTTCTTTCCTTGCAGTATTCTTCATTCTTTTTCTTCTCTCTCCTCTCAGCCTCTTTTTTTCCCCCATATCACCTGATTTTTTTCTGTAAGCTGTTCTATCTGGGGCATAGTAAAAAAAAAACATACTAAAAGAAATGAAAAATTTTCTAAACTGCTCTCTATCCTGCTTTTCTTTCAGGGACCACATGAGTTACTACTTCTTTCAAAATCCTTTCTATAGAAATTAGCCCTCAGTTTTTATTCCATTTTCTCAACATCTTCAGCATGTATGGTTTGATCACTCATTAAGCACCTCTCAAATGTGGCTTCTTATTTTTATTTATCTATTGATGTCTCTATCCTGTTTCCCCAACAGGAAGAAACATATGCCCTCAGCATTTCCTAAGGTATCCTAAGCAGAGTCTGTTGTGAGCACAGTAGATGTTTGGTAATGATGCTCACCTTTGTACTTGATTGCATTTTCCTGGCTTTAGCTTCATTTGTTTCTGGTTGATTCTTAGTGAGAATTAGTTTCAGTTTTAAGATCCAGGAGGGCATGAGTGGCTTGAACTTCACAGTGCCAGACGTTGTAGATGTCTTATCATATCTGGAAATGTTTCCAGTGTTCCAACCTACCTTCTAATGTAGGTGTGCAAAATAAATCATTCAGGCAAGAGCTTCCACTATAAATATTATAAACCCTATGGAGTTGAATAATTTTAAAACAGGCAGAGTTATAATGCCCTTTCATATAGTTTATATAAACTCTCTTCATAGAGAAAAATTGTACCATCCCATGCAAATGAAGACATTATCATGGCTTAGGCAAGGCTTTGATGATAATAATAGGAACAATTACGGAATACCTATTACACTAGGCACTGTACTTAGCATTTAGTAATTTCATGAAAAATGCTAACAGCTTTAATAAGTACTATTATTTTCTGCATGCAAAGAAATTGGGGTTTAGAGAATTTAAATAGAGCCAGGATTAAAACCCTTCAACCTTGCATGTAATAGGAACTTGAAAATGTGTAATGATGATGATAAAATATTTTCCTAAACTCCTCACAAAGTTTTCTTTTAATATAGCTATATATTCTGTGAGAGTACATATGCAAAATACATTTTTATCATTCTTATTTTAGTAACTTTGTCCAAGATCTTACCTCCTTTTCCAAAAGTTCTATAATCAGGTGAATTAGTAACTTAATAATATTCAATACTATTATCTTCAAATACAAAATAAAATAATGTTGACATGATACAAATAATAATTAGAACTAAAGCTTCTAGAAGCTGTTACATATGTCACCTAATTTGCTACAGCAAATCTGTGAGGTGAGTATTGCTATTTTATTGTGATAAACTTGATACTCTCAAACTTGCTATAAATGGTGATTATAATAAAAATTACAATGGAATGTAGTATTCCTTGAAAATGTTTTTCACATTTTCCATTTGTAGAAATAAAGATATCACTAGATCATATGACTTTTAAGAATATCTTATTTATATAAAAATTTAAAATACTACAAAGACATCATGGTAGTTACAATCTCTCCAAATCATGTCTTCTAAAACAGTTCATTAGGAGTAGTTATATTTATATGTCCGATAAATGCATTCTGTTCAATGAGAATTTGATGTAGTTATTTTTAACATCTCAAAGTGAATGCTCAAGGATTATTGATCTGAATCACATCAACTAATGGTTTAATCAACAGGTCACCTGCAAACAGCAATGGGAATTCAATTGATATGCTGCTGTGCTTGCATTGTGAAATGATTTATGTCTCACCCAGACATTACTATAAAACTCTAAGAGATGTTGAATTATATGTTGGCCTTTCCTAAGAATTTTATTAGAACTTTGTTTTTAGACATTAAGTGAAAGGTTCTAGAGAATAACCTACATGGGCCCAAATTTGAATATAACCTGTGGAGCCTATAAAACAAGGGGGCTTAATCTGGTTAATGTAAATACCACAAGTTACTGGCTGAGGGACCTACGGTTATGTTTTCATATGCTTACCATCCATTGAGGAAATTCCCTTTGCCAATTTTCACTTAATGGCCGCATAGCACTCTCAAAAAATGAATTGTTAACAGGTCTAAAACATTAACAATTTATATTATTATACCATTATCTCCTTTTTATTGGAGTAATCTGTATTGCAGTGTTATGGGTCTTTGACTAATATGCAGTATTTCTTTTTTAATGCAGGTAAATGGTTTAACTATGGGATTATCTTTCTCGTCTTGATTTTGGATCTTAATATGTGGAAGAACCAGATATTTTATCAGCCTCATGAATATGGACAGTATATCGGCCCAGGGCAGAAGATATATACAGTTAAAGACTCAGAAAGTTTAAAGGATTTGAACAGAACCAAGCTATCCTGGGAATGGAGGTCCAATCATACTAATCCTCAAACGAATAAGACGTATGTTGAAGGAGACATGTTCCTCCACAGCAGGTTCACAGGGGCTAGCCTTGATGTCAAGTGTATGGCTTTTGTTCCAAGTTTGATAGCTTTTGTATGGTTTGGATTCTTCATTTGGTTCTTTGGACGCTTTTTGAAAAATGAGCCAGGCATGGAGAATCAAGATAAAACTTACACTCGCATGAAACGAAAATCCCCATCAGAACATAGCAAAGACATGGGAATCACTCGAGAAAACACCCAGGCCTCAGTGGAAGACCCTTTGAATGACCCTTCTTTGGTCTGCATCAGGTCCGACCTCAATGAGATTGTCTTCAAGTCTTCCCACCTAACGTCGGAAAACTTGAGCTCGCATTTGAATGAGCCTGCCAGCGTGACAGAAGCTGACCCTGATCCAACGACTTCTAAAAGTACACCCACGAACTAGATTCACTTACTTGGATACAGCAAAAAAAAAAAAAAGCAACCCTGAGTGTACCTTTCAATAATTTAGTCTTTCTTTTTGTAAATGTAAGGTCTGCTTAATGTTAGGTAGAGAAATACAAACAATGCCACAACGGTGCTCAACATGCTTTTTCTAGGACTCATTGTTTTCTATTTGTATGATGATACACGTGCCTACTATATATCCAACAACCCTCTAGAGATTGCTTTTCACAATTGCACAAGCTATTTACTGACTTTACGGCGTAGTAGAAAATTAGCTGATTACCTGTGTATCTGATGTTCAACCATAGTGGTGCCTTGAGACATTAAACTGTTTTTAATTGTACCAGAAATGAAGTGTGGAAGAGTTCTCTAATCTATGTCTTATGGTGTTTTTTATTTAGTTATATACAATTATTTTGATCTATACTTGATGTCTGAGCAGAAAAGAGAGGTAGCCTAACTGTGGCTCAGGAAATATCTCTTGGTTTCTTATTCAGCAGTGGGGTTGGTGACTTCCATAGCTGGGCTACAGAGATGCGTGGTGATTACCTTTGAATTTTTATTGGCCATCCACCAAATGCAAGCACAGAGGCTAAATTCCATAACAGAAGAACGGTAATCCAGCATGGGTCACTACTTGTGAAATGTGACTTTCCCCAACCAGTAATTGCAATTAGATGATAATACTTAATTATGTTTTCCTAATTAAAGATAAATTGCTACTTGATTAAAAATGCTGCCCTTCACCTTCGGGAACAAAGGTTAAGAGGCACAGTTGGATGAACTCTCAGATTTATTGGCATTTACACAGAGCCCTAGAAAACCAAGGAACTGAAGTTTTAATCATGTGAGGGTTGCACAGCCTACCATCTACAGTATTTGTACATCTTTCTGTAAATATGGCTCTGGACAGTGAAAATTGAAAATCAATATATGCCAACCCTGAGCAAGGGAACTACTCTGAAAGTCATGCAAGGGAATCTCGTGAGGTAGAAAAGACCATGCATGAAAAGATATGTTTAATGGCTTGTTTTGTGTGCATTTTTTTATTTAAGAATTAAACATTTCATATTAATTAAGAAAATTCTATATTATGTGATGTCATTTTTGTTTATAATAGAGGGGCTCAATTGCATCTTAGTTTAACAACAGTCCCTCCCCCTATTTTTTCTAAACTCCATGCCAGACAAGTTAAGAAATGGAACACGCCCAATTTGCCTTTAGTTTTTTTCCATAAATTACGGTAACATGTTCCTTGAGGAGACTGGGGAAGATCACTTTTAAGGCAAAATTATTTTTTGTCACATACCAACACAGCTGTATTTTGTCTTTATGATTTTTTAAAATCTCTCTTGTTTTGATCTACCTGCTTTTAAGCGTGCAGCATGCTGAATTTAGCATGCATAACACAACTGCACTTATCTGTCACTTGAGTGCCAGCTTTTATAAACATGTTTCTACAGTTGTTTACGCAGCAATTGGAGCCATGCACCTGCTGGTTTTTCGTTACCTTTAATAGCCACGCACGGACGACTTAGGATCATAAGTATCTCTGACACTAAAAATGCAGAGGTCAAGTTCACTATAGTAACCCATTGACCATACTGATCAAAGAAACTTATCCCTGGCATGTGGTTACATTGGTCATTACCAAATTAGCATAACATAGAGGATTCAACTTTTGCCTCTAGGACAAGGAAGGAATACCACCTAGAACAGTGGTTTTCAACCTTCCTAATGCCGCGACCCTTTAATACAGTTCCTCATGTTGTGGTGACCCCAATTTCATTGCTACAAATTGAACATAATTAAAGCATAGTGATTAATCACAAAAACAATATGTAATTATATATGTGTTTTTCGATGGTCTTAGGTGACCCCTGTGAAAGGGTCGTTCGACCCCCAAAGGGGTCGTGACCCACAGGTTGAGAAACGCTGACCTAGAACTATATTTTTATTTATTCTTATAGAATGAAGAAGAAGGAAATTGATTTAGAAAATGAGTGTTTATTATTAGTATATAGTGTATATTAAAAACAACAAGAAAAATGAACATACAATAACTCATAAACACAGACACCAGTATGGGGGTTACCAAAGGGAAGGAGAATGTGGGGGAGTTGTAAAGGGTAAAGGGGGTCAAATATGTGGTGACCAAAGAAGATTTGACTTTGGGTGGTGGGTATACAATATAATATATAGATAATGTATCATAGAGTCATACACTTGAAACCTATACAATCTTATTAACCAATGTTACCCCAATAAACTTAACAAAAAGTTAAGATGGTAAAAACTAAAAATAAAATCTTAACACAGTAGATGCTTGAAAATATATTATTTGAGAATCTTTATGTGGGTATTAAGAAAAAAGTATTCCAATGGGGGAAGTAATTAGCAGAAGTAAGGTGGAAAAAAACAAACAAACAAACAAAAAAACCCCGCCAAACCTTAGAGCACTATGCTTCTGTGTTTCTAGGAATTAATGAGAGAAGCTAACAACTGATATGAAAATATATCTTTAAAAATTCCATAAATATTAGTAACACATGGAATAGTTTCCAGGGATGGCACTTTAATAGTCAAACAAGATTTGAACTTTCAAAGGCTTCCCATATCCAATTGTATATACCAATGTTGACCTTTTTATCTACACACTAGTGTCCTTCCTTCCCCCCCCCCCCATCTTTTTTGGGATCTTGTACATTCCATTTGCACATATACCAATTAAAGGTTAGAAAATTAAAAAAAAATCAAAGTTAAAATCACACCCATTCATGTATAGTCTTAGATTCTAAGTTATATACCAATGGACTATGACTCTACAGAACTTTTTGGACTATTGAGAGAATTTTTTAAAAGCATGTGCAGCAAACTCAGAAAATGAAGAGTTTTTAAAAAGGATTAAATATCACTAATCAGATTCTAAAGAAAGCACAACAAATATGATGCCTTAATTGCAGTGGCGCTTAAGGAATATAAACATTATATTTCTACTGTTTAGTAATTACAGTATTTTATTCTGGCAGAGATGGCATTAATTTAACATGATTTTAGTATTCTACATTATAAAGTATTTCATTAGTAGTTTAAATGGGAGATGAAATAAACATCATGAATTTAAGCCTGATAATATATGCCTAGACATAAATCTCATCACCACATGACCACTTATATAACTATAGTTAGTTTCCTCATCTTCCCCCTGTTGGTGGCTACTTATGTTCCCTTATCTTTTAGCACATCTTAGACCACCAGTGAATCCTATTAGAAATATTAAGAATCGTCTCTTTCCTATTTGCTCTAAGTCAGCCAAACATGAAATCTTTTACTCTTAAAGCTCAGATTTCGAAAGTAGTTTCCAAAAGCACTACTGGCTGCCCATATGATGGAAAGATGTCATCCAACAGACACACAGATTTGAGGGTGGGAGTCAATACCACTGTTGAGTCTCACCACTGGGCTCCATTAGCAATTGCTATGTTATTTGGCTGTCCTGTGAGTCACCAACACAACCCACTATGAAACATGAGAAAGACAATGCTAATGAATCACTCTTAGCTGTCCCTACAGCTGATGGCTCATGAAGCCAGCTGGATTATCTGACATACACCCCAGACCTCAGCACCTCCACACACACCCCATCACCTCATCATCTATCTCCTCACTCTAAAGTTATGCATCCACTATCTGGGTATTGTGTTTTTGTTAGCTTTTCCTGCTAAGACCATTAAGTGGCTCACTGGTCTATCTGGTTTGATTTCCTCCAGGTTTGCCCCTCAGAACCAACCCTAACCTCTTAGCTAGACTCACCTTTAAAAGGCGGGTAAGAAGCAACTTAGTTTTGCAACAAATAAACTTGCACTTTTCTCATTTATCCCTATTTTTATGTTTAAATATGTTTTTGTGTATCGGCTTGACACGCAATATATGGAACCAATATGGGAACCAACATAGATAAGAGAATTGAGGTAATAAATGTTTGACTTACTATCACTTAGGGCTAGAACTGGCTTATAATTTAAACAACTAGAAAGTTTAGATGTGTTTGCAGCTCACAAGCCAGTCATGTTGAAGATAATTGGGAAAAGAGGTGGATATTTATTATGAAAAGGAAAGGTTAGGCAGATGGTGGAGTGTGAGTGAAATTTGCTGAAATGAGGTCTTGGAAATGAAAAATGGCAGTTTTTGTGTGGACCAGCTCTAAAACATCAGGGAGGGAAGCAAGGATTTTGTAAAAGGAACTTCAACATGAGTCCAACATTCCTGCCCTTAGAGAGGAGACTCAAAAAGGTGTATTCAACGTAACTGAGGGGATTACACAAAAAGTTGGTTGGTTGGTTGGTTGGTTGTGTACCCATTTTGACACTCAAATTACTCTATGTCTATACCGAGAGCATGGCCAGACCTGGGAGAGGAGGCATGGGAACCCATGAAACAAATTACAGAAGTAAGTGTCGGGGAGTGGGCAACATGAGAGGATAAAGACAACAATCAACACTTAATTCAGAGAGACTGGACCATCCTCCATGGGAGAAGAAACACAGAGCAGTCTGTGTGTGCTCGCATGTCATCAGCATATAAGAGCTGGTGACGTGGTAACAAAACTATCAGATATTTTATGATAAACATTCTGAAAATTTCTAGTGAGAGACAATATTGGACAGTATTATTACTCATTTAATATGTGTAATGTACCCCTGATATTATTGTAACTTAGTGTGAGGTATTAGTTATTAGACTTCAGAGACACATAATGTGCCTGGCTGACATGGCTCAGTGTTTGAGCATTGACCTGTGAATTGGGAGGTCACAGTTGGGTTCCTGGTCAGGGCACATAACATGCCCAGGTAGCAGACTCGATCCCTAGTGTGGGGTGTGCAGAAGACAGCCACTTGATGATTCTCATCATTGATGTTTCTATCTCTTGCTCCCTCTCCCTTCCTCTCAGAAATCAATAAAATATATATTTAAAACAAAAAAACACATATAATGTATTTCAGAGGTTTATTTCTTATCTCTGTGCTCCAACATGATTTTTCATAAGGTCTTAAGTTCATTAATATGACATAATTGTACTACTGGGCTTGAGGACTTGCCTATGTGATTGAGAAGCACTACTATAATTTATGATTGAGAACTACAGTAACAAAACAAATTTACAGATGCTCCTCACCCTAACAAAATTTTTCACTCTATCCAGATCTTTGCTCAATCCTCATATTGATAACATTAGCATTTTGAGTATTTTCTATGGACAAATAAATTATTTCATTTAATCCTCACATTAATCATTGAAGATAAGTATGGCTAATTTTACTTTACTGGCAATGAAACTGAGGGTCAGAGAGGTTTATCAACTTGCCCAAGCTCACAAGAGTGGAAAATGCAGAGTTGAGATTTGAACCCAGGTTTGTCTACTCCAAAGTTCCATTTATTTTCCATTACAAACTCATAAACATCCATCCACACTAGAGAATCCATCTTAAACAGGATCTTTGATGAGGAGCAGTTATAAAACCTTCAGATGCTTGAGATGCAATAATTCACATCTCTCAGGAACCTAACTAAGTTAAATAATTTCCAACAGCTGTCTGGATGCAATTTACAAGGTAAATCATATGATTGAAACAGATAAGTTTGAATTAAACGGCAGAAGCATTCAGTTCATTGGCAGGTGTCCTGATTTAAGCTACATTTATAAAACCACCACACAGATTTGTCTTAATACAATTTTCAGCAATGGAATTGGTTTCTTTCATGATTTTACTTTCCTAGGGGAGGGAAAAGGATGGATCTCTGCATGTTCTAAATACACCCCCAGACAAATGTCAGTGGAAGAATAGGTAGTTACAAATATCAAAGCAAGAAAAAGAATGATTAACAAATGGCTGGTTTTAGAGGTCATAATTTAAATACAGGCTCTAGAAACAGCTCTATTGTAAAATGACCATCAAAAATGTATTTTTGGGTTTTTTTAATCTTTATTGTTGAGAGTATTACAGATGTTCCCCTTTTCCCCTATTGCCCCCCTTCACCTGGTTCCCACCCTGCCCAGGCCTTAACCACCCTGTTGTCTGTGTCCATAG